AGGGTATTTATGAGGGAAAAAGGAGAAACATCTCTAACAAAAATAAATTAATAGAAAATAAAATAAAGAAATTTCCCTGCACAAAATCAAGAACGCACACACTACTTGCTGGCCCTAGGCAGACTCACCAAGGGCCAAGTCACCTTTCTGGTAACAATTTAAAAGATTTTAAAAACTTACTTAATACTTACATTTGTTAGGGTTATAAAGCACTCAGTGTATTTATAACAATAAATACTGCCTGTGAGTCAAAATCGACCCCTTTGTATAATATCAGTGCTTTCCTTATTTTTTTTTCAAGGTTATTCTATATCATTTATAATAAAATATCTGAGTCAAAATGCTCAAAAATCTCAAGAAAAAGGCATTATTTAATTTTTTTTCCACTTTAATTTAAAAAATTTACCCCCTCCCCAAATTCATCAACACATAGTGACACTGTCTGGTTTCTAATTCTAGACTCTTCTACTTTATAATCTTATAAAACAAACATTCTTGGATCCCACAACAGAAAGGACTGAAAAAAATTTGGCATCATATAGCTAATACCATAATGCAGGAAAGGAATAGTGATAAAATTCAACGGTCAAATTACAATAAAAATTTTTTAATTATATAGTTTACACTAATACAATATTCTGTCTGATGGTGTCTTCCTTCTTTCTTCTCTCCTTCAGCACAATTGTTAAAAAAAAAAGGACTGATTTTTCAGATAGTTACAGTCTGCCTAATTTGAGCAAGCTGTAAAAAAAATTCTGTTTTAGAAAGGTCAATCAGTTCTAAACAAAAGCATTCAATTCAGTAAGCATCTCCTATAGAGATACTTCCTACATGGATAAGCCAACATTTCCTGTTATAGTTTTAAAGGTGCAAAGGAAGCTGTAAGTGAATGCACACATTCAGCTAGACTAAGGAGTTTATAACTTTTTTTTTTTTAATTTCTTTACCCAAGGACATTTTTTCATTTTTTGTTCAGACAGAGCGGGAGGGAGAAAGAGGAAGAGAGAGAGAGACATCGATGTGAAAGGTACACATGGAGTGGCTGTCACGCGCACAACCCAACCAGGGCCTGGAACAAACTGCAACTGAGGTACATGCCCTTAGCGGAAACCAAACCCGGGTCTCTCTGGACGACAGGCTGACACTCTAACTGCTGAGCCAAACCAACGCTCAAACAGGCCAGGGCGGAGTTTATATGTTTTGACAGCACTCACAGAAAATTTCCATTGAACTGTCATACCGGCATTTTCTAAGATTTTGCTCAATTAATACCATTTGCCAGGATAGGTATGTTTAAAATCATATTCACTCTATCAGGAAATCTGGATATTTTTCTATACAGTGATTTTTTTTTTTTTTTATCCTCACCCGAGGATATTTTTCCATTTTTTGTACAGATAGAGTGGGAGGGAGAGAGAGGAAGGGAGAGAGAGAGAGAAACATCGACGTGAAGGGACACATCGAGTGGCTGCCACCCGCACGACCAACCAGGGCCGGGGACAAACTGCAACCGAAGTACGTGCCCTTAGCGGGAACCGAACCCGGGTCTCTCCGGACTGCAGGCCGACGCTCTAACCACTGAGCCAAACTGGCCAGGGCTCTATACAGTGATTTTTTATTTCGCCCATCTATTTCAACTTCCACAGTTGTACCTTTCACATTTAGATGTTCTGGCAGTCTCCTAGATGCTGTCTGCCTCTAGGCCCTCCCACTTTATTCATATACAGTCACTAAAATAAGTTTCCCCAATTAATTTCATCATGTTAACTCTCCTCTTCAAAAAGTATAGTGACTCTGCCTGACCGATAAGACTCAGTGGTTGAGTGTTGACCCATACACCAAGAGGTCCCCGGTTCAATTCCCATTCAGGGCACATGCCCAGGTTGTGGGCCTGATCCCCGGTGAGGGACTAGCAGGAGGCGGCTAATGTTCTCTCATCAATGTTTCTATCTCTCTCTATCCCTCTCCCTTCCTCTCTCTAAAATTAATAAAGAAAAAAACTGGTAGGAGGGGCAGAGGCACAGTCCAGCTGGTCCCACACCCACATGTGGCGGATAAAAATCAGGGGGGACACCTCAGCTGTGAAGGTCCTCCCTGAGGAGCAAGGAATCCCTGTCCCACATCAGGCGCCTAGCACAGGGTTCCAGTGCCAGGAAGAGAAGTCCCCATCACTTCTGGCTGGAAAAACCAGTGGAGAACTGAGGCTGAGGGAAGCTAAGGCTGCTAGAGCCATAGGCAGCTCCTCTTGAAGGGTCTGCACATAGACTTACTTGGACCCCCTCCCTCTGACCTCCAGCACAGAGGGGAGGCAACTTGAAAGACACCAGAGACCTACGGGGAAAAACTGAGTTGTTTGGCATTAAGGCGAGGACTGGAGAGGCAGCTTTCTTCTGGACAGACCTGCTGATGGAGGCCATTGTTCCTTTGGTGAGCCCTTCCCCTACACCGCAGGCAGAGGGCCCCCATACCTGGGACTCCAGCAACTTGGCTTATACTGTTTGCCCAACCCTTGTGATTCCCTGAGGCCCTGCCCCACCCAACATCCAGGCCCACCCAAGATGTTTTCAGTGGCTTTACCATAGGATTGTACTGTTTTGGCTCTTGCTTCAGATTTTTCTAGATTCTCTCAAACAAGCAGCAGTGAGCCCCATACCTCTCATTAAGTGGCCCCAGGCCTAGCACTAGAAGTAGCCAACCTTGGTTCAGAGCTTGACTTTGCCTGGGCACCTCTAAGCCCAGCACAAAATGCAACCATCGGCAGACTGCTTTGTAGCTTATGCCTGGTGGCCCTAGGTAGAATACAGGCAGTGGCTCACCTTGCCCCAGAGCCAGCACACCCAGGGGAGAGCTTCAGACCACAATGAAGCACCACCACCCAACCACTTCCACGAGTAACACACTAAAGAAATGTACTTAGCGAGTACCAGAGCCCTGCTGAATAAGTCTTGCTCTGTGTGGTGGGCCTCTGCACAGCTGATCATCCAAAGTAGTTAGAGGCTGGTGGTTAGCACAGCCAGTTCTTGCAGCTGATCAGCCTGAGTAAAACCTCCCATTGACGTGCCAACAGCAATCAAGACTCAATTACAACAGAAGGGTGTAATGTCCATACGAAGGGTGCACCTCGAGGGCCTGGCTGGTGATCAGGGAGGCTGTGCCACTGGAATCTATAGGACACCTACAACAATAGGTCACCCTAAGAAGCCTAGGAGACATAGCAACTCTACCTAATACATAGAAACAAACACAGGGAGGAAGCCAAAATGAAAAGAAACAGGTCCCAAATGAAAGTACAGAACAAAATACAGACAAAGAACTAAATAAAATGGAGATAAGCAATCTAACAGATGCAGAGTTCAAAACACTGCTTATAAGAACACTCAATGAACTTGGTGAGGTCCTCAAGAGGATAATAAAGGACCAGTCAGAAATGAAGGATGCACTAACTGAAATAAAAAATAATTTACAGGGAATCAATGGTAGAGTAGGTGAAGCCAAGAAGCAAACCATCAATTTGGAATGTAAGGAAGCAAAAAACACCCAATCAGAACAGCGAAAAGAAAAAAGAATCCAAAAAAAATGAGGATAGTATAAGGAGCCTGTGAGAAAACTTCAAGTGTATCAACATTCACATCATGGGAGTGCCAGAAGGAGAAGAGAGAGGGCAAGATATTATAAACCTGTTTGAAAAAATAATGACAAAAAACTTACCTAACTTGGTGAAGAAAACAGAGATACAAGTCCAGGAAGCACAGAGAGTCCCAAAGAAGATGAACTGAAAGAGGTCCACACCAAGACACATCATCATCAAAATGTAAAAGGTTAAAGATGAAGAGAGAATCTTAAAAGCAGTTAGTTACCTACAACAGAGCTCCCATAAAGATGTTCCATAAGTTTCTCAAAAGACACTTTGCAGTCCAGGAGGGAGTGGCAATAAATATTTAAAGTGATGAAAAACAAGGACCTACACAACCAAGATTACTCTACCCTGCAATGCTGTAATTTAGAATCGATGGTCAAATAAAGAGTTTCCCAGACAAGAAAAAGCTATAGGAGTTCATCACCACCAAACTAGTATTGTATGAAATGTTGACAGGTCTTCTTGAAGAAGGTGATAAAATAATATGGACAATAAAATGACAATAAATACATATCTCTCAACAGTTGAATCTACAAACAAAATGAGCAAGCAAAACAGAAACAGACTCACAGATACAGAGAACTTTTTGTTGGTTGCCAGATGGGAGGGGAGTTGGGTGAAAAAGATGAAGGGATTAGAAGGTACAAATTGGTTAGACTGATGAATCTCAAAGGGAAGGGGAGAGGTAGGGCAGAAAGAGATAAACCAAAGAACTTTTATGTATATATGCATAATCAATAGACATAGACAATAATGTGGGGAAAGCAGGAGGGGGATGAGATTGGAGAGGAGGGGTCAAGGGGGGAATAAAGAGGGATATCAGTGATACATTCAACAATAAAGGTAAGTTTTTTTTTTTTTAAAGTAGCTGGAGAAAATTCCACATAAATATTCTTTGGATGCATAAAGAACTGTTGGAAGAAAAACCTCATTCTTCATAAGTCAAGATAAAAGTGAGGACAATTCCACACTACTAGAATAATACTAGCTATCACTTAGTGTATATCGAGCACTTTCAATCTATTATCCACTTTAAACCCCCAACTAACTTATAAAGTATTACCATTCCTATTTTATAGGCAAGGAAACAGAAGTTCAGAGAGATTAAGTAACTTGGTCATAGGTCAAGTTTTGGTTCATATAGCTAGATTGTAAGAGATCTAGACTCTGAACTTAGATCTGCCTTACTTCAGAGTCTAGGCTTCCTTTAAATTTACTATATGGCAGTAGTTCTCAACCTTTAGTGTCTCACATTTATTTGGATATTTTTAAAAATACAAATGCATGGGTTACAACTCTATTGATCCTAAACCAGCCTGTCTGAAATGGCACCCAAACATCTTTATTTTAAAAAGTAGTTCACAGCCTTTGTGTTGCCCATTCACTTTTAGAAACTAGTTAATGTGGTGTCAGAAAAGGTATAAACTAAACACTTTGCAGCCCTTTCCTTCCCTTGAATTTGATGTCTTTGGTATAAGAGCAGCATAAGTAACAGTTTTTTTTTTTTCTTTAAAAGAATAAAAGTAGTTCAGGTGCTTCTGATTTCCTCAAAGTGTAGTAGACAGATGGGCATGAGCAAAGTAAGGGCGATAGGCCAGGTTTGGAAATAAGGTCAGCAGGGCAGAAAGCCCCAGGTGCCTAGCAATGGGCAAAACTGGAAAAACAAGGACCTCACCTCCAGGCTAACCTTTCCTCCCCTAGTATATAACTGGTCATGCAGTCTAGACTCCCTGACCTTTCATATCACTGGTCATGTGGTTCAGACCCTCCCCTAACCTTTCCTCATCTGGAGTGTCACTAACAATGTGGTAGACCCTCAGATAGCTTCATGTGACTCCCGTACAAGCCCTTGTATGATCATTCCCTTAAGCATTAAGCCCTCAGAGCAATGAGGTTCTGACCCTCATCGCATACTCTTAAGAACAAAGCCTTGGGTTTGTTGACCACAGAGAGAGAGGTTTGGTCAAACTAAAGATAACATCTAGGCCTCAGTTGTGTTTCAGCTCCAAGCCCAGAAAAGTAGAAAGGCAAGGCCAGACCAGTGTCCCTGAGTGTGCTGTGGGGAGTGGTGTATGTGGGGAGGGGGTAATAAGCAAGGGGTGAGAGTGGGGTAGTGGGGTTCTGGCCGCTCTGGTTCCCCTTACAGGTGCAGGACTCCAGTCTTCCCTGCCCACCCCATAGGAAGCCAGGAGGGCATAGGGTCTCCTTCAAGCAGCAGGTAGGCTTTCCCATCAGGGGTGGGTGGGGGCTGGGCATGGTTGGATGGGGTTCTGTTCATGTGCTGGAATGGGGTGGCCTCTTCTTATTGTATACAATAAAAATTCTCCACCACCAACAAAAAACAATAATAAAACAAAATAAAAGCTAAATTTGTAATAGAGCAATTGTTATACTCATTTCCTTTTACCATTAATCTATTCATTGCTAAAGTCTTGATGCCAATATTTTCCTATACACTTATATAAATTTAATTTTTCTCTCAAGCATCTATGCACTTGTATACAGTAAAATTTGAATAAAAACAGATATTTGTTGTAAGACTACCATTATGAGCCAAAGTTACTGTAAGCGCTTCTTTGAGAGTGGCCCACACAGTTCACATAAATCACATTTCACCTGGGATGCTCACTTAAAATGCAGATTCTTACTCAAACAACTATTGGATCTCACCAAGATACAAAGTAATTGCCTTTATCATTGTAATCAGTATTCTCACTTCCCTCTTTATAGAGAATAAGTTCCATGAACAATCAAGTTTTCCCACTTTGAAAACACTCTCTTTTCCCTTCTTCCCTTTCTACTAATAAAATGCCAACTCAAACATCAGCTTACTTATGCCAGCTTCTGAGCAGATGAATAGTACCAGAGAAAAACCACACAACTGTGCTGACTATAATCACTTAACATGGATTACTATAAGTCTCAAATGGGGACTTAACATTGTCAGAAATAAAATCCAAATTGGTTTCTTCTATATATTTTACCTGCCATTTTGACATAACTATTTCATAAATTTTCTTGTCTCCTCAAATCTCTGACATCCCTTTGCCAAGACATTTACAACTGATGAATTTTATCTTATCTTCCCATTAATTCTATCAACCTAACTGCATAGGATTTCACATACTTTACCTTCATTGGCCTTACAATGGAATAAGTTTCTGTTCCTTTATAAGGCCAACACTTTTACTTCTGGTAAGGATCTCATCACTTGTGACTTCCCAAGGACTGTCCCTGCAGGATCTCTTATATCTTCTGCATCATCAGTTTCTCCACTCCACATAATTACCACTGGCATAATCATCTTAAAAAATAAAACAACCTTCCCTTATATTCATGTCTCCATGTGTCCTAAGTACCAATGCATTCCTCCATTAACTTCCAGAACAAAACTCTCCAAAAAGAGTTCCCTTCACTTTCTGCCCATCCATTTTCTCCTCAACCCACTGCATTAGGATTTTGTTGCCACCACTTCACTGAAATACTGCTAATTAATCTCACCAAAGACTATATTTCCCCCAAGGCCAATGGCCAATTCTCTGTTCTTAACTTATCAAATCTTAAAGTACCATTTCACATGGTTGATCAACCTCTCCTTCCTGGAATACTTCCTTGTCTAGTTTCTGAAATGCCTCACTTTTTGGATTTTCTTTCTACCTCATTTGCCAGCCCCTTCTTAGACTTTTTTTTTTTTTTTTTGGCCATTTCTCTACTGTATCTCTCAACATGAGAGTTACCAAGAATATCCCTCATCACTTTTCCCTTTTTTTTTAATCCTCACCTGAGGACATTTTTTTGCATTTATCTTCAGATAGAGCAGGAAGGAAAGAGGAAGGAAGAAAGAGAGAGGAACATTGATGTGAGAGACACACATTGACTAGCTGCCACCCACATGACCCCAACTGGGGCCGGGGACAAACTGCAACTGAAGTACTTGCCCTTAGCGTGAACCGAACCCAGTCCATGGGCCAATGCTCTACCACTGAGCCAAACCGGCCTGGGCACTTTTTCCCTGTCTTTATCCATTTTCTTTCCCTAAGTGATTTTATCAAATCCCATGGCTTTAGATAACATCTAATTTATATGCTATTACTCTCAAACTTTATCCCCAGTCCATATCTCTCTCTCTTCATGAATTCCAGTCACTGTAATATGACTGCCTTCTTGCAATCTCCACTTGGGTGTCTAGGACGCATCTCACACTTAACAAGGTCAAGACAGAACTATTGACATCTAATCTCTCTACTTGCAAAATCCTCCCAAATCAGTAAATGGTCCACCATCCAACAACTTGCTCAATCAAAAACTTGCAGTCATTGGCCCTAGCTGGGAAGCTCAGTTGGTTAGAGCATCACCCCTGATCCCTGGTCAGGGCACATATGAATGCATAAGTAAGTGGAACAACAAAACAAACTGATATACCACCCTACCCCCCACTTCTCTAAAAGTAAAAGTAAAGCCCTGGCCAGTTTGGCTCAGCGGTTAGAGCGTCGGCCTGCGGTCTGGAGAGACCCGGGTTCGGTTCCCGCTAAAGGCACGTACTTCGGTTGCAGTTTGTCCCCGGCCCTGGTTGGTCGTGCGGGTGGCAGCCACTCGATGTGTCTCTTCACGTCGATGTTTCTCTCTCTCTCTCTCACCCTTCCTCTCTCTCCCTCCCACTCTATCTGTACAAAAAATGGAAAAATATCCTCGGGTGAGGATAAAAAAAATAAAATAAAATAAAATAAAATAAAATAAAAGTAAACAACTAGCAGTCATTGTTTTTTTTTCCTCTTGACCCTCTCTCTTCTAATCCAATCAATCCATTTAAGTCTTGCTAACTCTACCTCAAATATACATCTCAAATCTGACCAGATTATTAAAATGAGAGTAAATCCCTTTAAAGAATATTATGCCAGATTGTATGATGGGTCAACTTACTTCCATGTCTTTGGTCCCTGCCTTCTCCTCGTCAAACTCATATTCACCTTTTTCAAAGTCTTCATTTTCTCATTTAAACAACTGCCTTACGGAGAAAGACAAATGCAAGAAAAAGAAATAAAAAGCATACAGATTGGAAAAGGAAACAACGGAGGCAATTTACAGGTGGCAGGAAGTTATATACATAGAAAATCCTCCAAAATATACAAAAAATAAAAAACTCTCTTAGAATTAATGTGTATTGTAAGGTTACAGAATACAAGGTTATCACACATACACACACACAGACACACTGAATTTCAATATACAAGCAATATGAAAAGGGAAACCAACATTTAAAATCTACCTTATATAACAGCTCAAAAAGTAAAATAAAATGCTTGTACAGTATATAAATCTAAGAAAACAGGTACAACAGGTGTATGCTAAGAACTATAAACCATTAATGAAAGAAATCAACTAAATAACTGGAGAGACATACAATGTTCATCTACTAGAAAACACAACATAGTAAAGATGCCAATTTGCTCCGAAATGATGTACAGATTTAATACAATTTCAATCAAAACCCTGTCTTTTTTTCAGTGAACAATACATCATAAATATTTTTTATATCAATAAACATTCTTCTAGAACATCATTTAAAATGATGGTATATTCTTTCATGTTCTAGATTTACCCTAGAACTATTTGTCCATTCTACAGAGAGAGGAAGTGAGAGGGAGAGAGAGATACAAACATGGATGAGAGAGAATATTGACTGGTCGTCTCCAGCATGCCCCACACTGGGAATAGGCCCACAACCTGGGCACGTGTCCCAACCCGAAATCGAACTGATGATCTCTTGGTACATGGGTTGATGCTCAACCACTGAGCCACACCAGCCAGACCATTCCTTATATTTTGATGTATAAGTTATTTCCAGATTTTCTCTAATATTAATATGCTTTATAATGAACACCATCCTAATTTAATCTTTTCAAAATTTTTGTCATTAAATTTTACAGGTGCATATATTTTTAAAACTTTTTAAATATATTAACATACCCTCAAAAAGGTCTTTTATCTTTGAATTTTAACTTAAAACTTACCTCTTCTGAAAAACATTCTCTGATTAGCCCTCCACCACCGTTAAATCTGTGTACCTACTTGGTCTCATTAAATTACTATTATGTTTACTGAACAAGTTAACCAATCACTGCTTTAATAAGACATTAAGCCTCTGGGCTATCTGCAGAAAAAGTACATAATATAATCCACATAAATCCTCTCTATATTTTCATCATGCTTCAATTATAAACCATAAAATTGAAGACTAGTTGAGGTCTTGTAACAGAGAAGGGTAATAATAATTCAGAAACACTATCTATTGTATTTTATTCTACTTGTAAATGAAATAACATACATTAAGATAAAAATAAAGTCTCAAACTATATTTCAGCATTTCACATTACTTACAATTAGCTAGTACTAATTAGATTCAACCCTGTTAATGTTTTTTTTTTATTTTTTATCTTCACCCAAGGACATTTTTGCATTTATCTTCAGATGGAGCGGGAGGGATAGAGGGAGGAAGA